CTGACCTTGCCTTCTGTCATATCACGATGTTCCTTCAAATTTCTCTAACATCCTTTCCTTTTCCCACCGCACTGAGTGAAAGCATCTTGTCCACACCTTTGAGACTGATATGGTCCTTTCCCTTACTAATTATCTGCATGTTTCTTTTTATCCAGCTTCTGTTTCCTTTCCCATGCCATTGAGGACAGCCCCAGCTTGTCCATTTCCCCTCAACCATGTCTATGTCTTCGTCAGCACTGTCCTCTGTTCATAGGTCACTCTTCTTGAATGAAGTTTGAAGACTCTTTACTTGCTAGTCTATCCACCTTCTCTGGGAGCAACGAGTGTCTGATGGGCAGGCCATAAGTTATGTATTTTATGTGTAATATATAGAATCATAGAGTCATAGAATATGATGAGTTGGAAGGGGCTCATCAGGATCATTAAGTCCAAATCCTGGCCCTACACAGGACATCCCAAGAATCATACCATGTGCCTGAGAGTATTGTCCAAATGCTTCTTGAACTCTATCAGGCTTGATGCTGTGACCACTTCCTTGGGGAGCCTCTTCCAGTGCCCAACCACAGTCTGGATGAAAACTTTTTCCCGATATCCAACCTAAACCTTCCCCGACACTATACATATTATAAAAATTGAATGTACTTCTCTGCTTTCTACTTGCTGTACTTTTAAAAACATTTTGAAATTTCGTAGGGAAGTATGCTACCTTTCTCAGACTTTGTGCAGCACTACCCACAAAAAACCCCATTTACAACTATACACAGAAATAACCACAATAAAGTAACAAAATCAGTAATGAACACCCCATGTTTTCTCCTCAAAATGGATATCAGAATTTATTCAAAATTCCTTGTACAATGTCAGCTCTGCATCTTCTGGCTTCTAAGGAAGTGAGTACAGTGGTGCAAGCCAAGAAAAAAAGGAGGAACCTTTGTGAAGTTATACTGAAGGAATATGCAATTTGTGGATGATGGCAAAAGTCACTGAGAAAGCTTGCCAAGGTCCTGCAGAAATAGCACATGCTCATGTACTAAATGCTCTGAAGCAGTTTTAGGTACTGTTGCTTGTGGCCAGACTTCAGACATAATAGAGCTTTTGTCCTTTTCTTGACAGAGAAGGTTGAAAACCAAAAACAGGAGGGGGAAGAAGATGGAAGGAATTTCAGCCTCCTCAGGAGATGCATTCCAGCTGGTGTGGACCGTACTACATCCTCCCTGGATTCTACAGTGCATTCCTTTGTTTCCTCTGACCAGACATTTTCTTTTGTTTAGTCCATCAGTGCCCTCCAAAGTATGTTGTACCTCCTTGGCAATGTGGAATGCATTGTACAGTCCTTGTCTCCCAGCAATGAAGTTGCCCTAGATTTAGCATTTTTATCACATGCTGCTCCTTACCCACTGTGTTAAAAGAACTATTAATTATTATTATTAATCTCTCTTATTCAGCACTGGGAAGTGAGCTAAATTAAGCTTTGGTGGAAGCCAAACTAACTGTCGACTTCATGCATATTTATTCTTCATCACCATGCACACAGCAGGGTGGCACCCTGAGAGAACAGCAAAGATTCCAGCACTTCACCCAGCAGGGACCAGGGCTTTTAAAGAGATTTCCCAGTCAATGATTATTGTCCACAAGGGAATGCTGTTGACTTAAAGATTTTGCATCTACCATACTGTGCTTCAGTTAGCACTGTGGGTTTGCTGTATTTCATGCAATGTGAGTTGTAAACATTGGACATTTGACTTCTCTGAGTGTATGTGTGTTTGCAAGATACACTTCTTCCCTGAATCTGTCTTTATTCACCTCTCTAAAAATGTATAAATTTCCATCTCAGCTTTATTCTAACTTGTCTGCTCGCAGTGTTTGGGGGATTTTGCTTGTGAGGCTTACACTCAGCTTTCTAGCTTTTGCACTTTTTTTTTTTAATGGAGATCTCCATACACTTCCATATTTCTAAAGATACAAGGATTTTTCTAGCCTGCTCTCAGAGTAGGCAATACAGCTTTGTACTGTGAGACACGTTTGCACATTACCGTGCTCCTTTTCAATCAGGATGCAAAATATCACTACTAGGACAAATATTACAGAAGGAGCCTAGAGTCAGTGGTGATGGGCCATGAACCAGGTTTGTTTTAGTGAACAAGAATTTGAAGGCTCCTCCCAAGCTATAGTAAGCAGCTGATTTTTTTTAGCAGGAGTAAAGCAGAACTTTCTTGATAAAGCCATGTACTGCAGGTGATCATGCTCTCTTGATCTTTCCTGAAATTTTTCAGTAAATCTTCCTGCAGCTGTGAGTTCAAGTCGAGGAGAAAGAAGAATGGTTCTTTGGCTAGGTCTGCTCTTGGATGGCTTAGGACTAGAGAGTCTTGAAAAGTGGAAAATGAAAAGAGAGGAAATGAACATTCGCCCTTTTAAAAAGGATTAACGCAGAAGAGATGATCATGCTTTTTCCTCTGTAAAAAATTGATTGCAAACAAGAATGAATAATAATGAACAATAATAATAATTTCAAAGTGCCCTTTGAGTTAAAGAATTTAGTGCTGCTGCTTTAAATTGTTGATGCTGACTGCACAAGGAAAGCTAACAGTGTTCTAATTTGTTGTGAGAACTTCTCTCTAAAATGTAAAAGCCTTTCTTATCAGACAAAGCCTTTCCCTTCTCTGCTTCTGCCATCTTTTTTTCATATTGCTATAAAAAGACCAGCAGTAAATGCCAGTGAAAATGAAGGAAATGTGGAAATACACAGAAACTTCTGCTCTGCTTTTTTTTTCCCCTTTGAGTTCTTTTAAATAATTTTGATCTGCATCCAGAGCAGTTTATGGAGGCAGAAAACAGTGCATGTGGAACAGCAGGCAAGAATGTGGAGTGAATACTAATGCACTCAAACACCCTCCCCCAAGCTCTCTAAGCCTGAAAAATCCTTCTGCAGCATAACTAGCAGTTCCTGTAGAGCTTCCTTATATCCTCATGGAGGAAAGTCCTTTAGCATTTAATAGAAAATTATTATTTTTTCATACACTTTCTGAGCTGTTAGAACTTAATACAAAATCATATCCTTGCTATATAGTAGCTTAGAAAAAAACCCTCTGCAGACTATCATGAATAAATTTCAAAATGTTTTTAAGAGAGATTTTTCAGGATAATAATACTTTTTTATAGGACCTACCTGAATACCTCTTGTTAAATAAAACGTGATGTCTTCACAACAGTAGAATCTTGAACCATAAAATAGATTTTACAGATAAATTTACCAGGACAAATTTCGACTCTTTAGTGCAAGAGGAGAAAAAGGACACCTGTAAAAAACAGAAGAAAATGGAAAAAATAAAAAATTGATCTTTTTCCTGAAAAATAAAAAACAGTTCTGGGAGCCTAAACACTGAAATTATTTAAGCCTTTTTGGCACAAAATGCCACAAAAGGCCTTTTTTATCTTCTACTTTCAGAGGCCTAATTACAATCTGACATATAACTCAGAGATGCCAGCTGAAGTCAGTGAAGGGCACAGGACAGAGTCTGGGGCTAGTTTGGTATCAGGACTTTTTTTTTTTCACTAAACCATTAATTTTGTGAAAGGGACCATGTGATGTCTGGTCTGCAATAGCAGAAGACTGCAATCAGTGACATTCCCTTTTCTGCTTCCTCCACCTCACATTTCTCATAAATTAGGGGTTCATCTTTCCTCCTATTCTGCCTATAAAATGACTTTACATGTTCCGAGTGGAAATGCCCAGAGGGACAGATGTAAAATTTCAGCATAAGTGTGCATTGGATGCCTCTCTTCCAGAGCCTCTCTTCCAAGCAAATCTGAGGACAAATCAGCTGCTGTTCCAGCTCACATGCACAGTTTGAAGTTGCAAAGAGATGAAAACCATCACAATTCCATAAAGATAGCAAATTTACTATCTCTAAACCTCACATGGGTTGTTTGCAAAAATTTACTTCCCCTGGGCCATTTCTCTACAAAAGGACAGAGTGGCCCAGTGTAAGGCTCTTGAAAGACCTGACTTCAGTTCTCCGCTGAGGCATCACCTTACCCATGCCCTCCCAGCAAAGCATCTACACTGGTTTGCAAGTTATTTTGGCTCTGCAAGAAGAGATGGGATATGACAATCTTGCAAAATGGAGCCTGTAATTTATTTTTTGCCATGTGTTTTTTATTCTGTTTGGGTAAAACCCCACAAAGTGGTATTGCTAACAGATTAATACCTCAAACTGGGATGCAGTTGGATTCTGCAGTAAGAAGAGCTATATGATTACCTTAGGTAGGTAACCAAGAAGTGGTGTTGACAGGCCTTGGCATTTAGCATGTGGACTGTGACAATGGAAAGATTTATTCAAAACTACTGCATCAATTAGAGTCTGTATTTTATTTCACTGCAATATGCTTCTTGGTGTTTTGATTTCTAGCTTATTTAGCAAAGTAAGCTCCCTATTGAATACATCAGCTGACTATTAAAATGAGTGAAAATCCATGGCCTTCCACAACAGCACTGCACAGAAAAAAGCAAATTAAATTGAGACATAGACGAGAAGGGTGAAGGAGATTCATCAGCCACTCTGGCAACAGCAAAAGCCAGACAGTGATGGTTATCTCTCCATTTCCCTTCTCCCTGCCACCTGGTTGTAGGAGCTGATTCAACATGATGGGGAGAAAGCAGAACCCAGATCAAGGATCTCTTTAATGGAATCTCATTGCCCCACAGTGAAGACCTGTTTTTTTCCCTCCCATTATCTCTGTCTGTCTTCATGTAGCCTCATTACCTTTCCTTCATTCACCCCTCCCTCCTCAACCCTACTTCTTCTATCAAAAAAGGAGGAGGCACAAAGCTATGATGTTTCCTGCTGCTACTACCGTATGCACTTTCCTCGCATGTTGTGACATTTCTTTTGGGGCCTGTCTTGACTGTTTGCATTTCATACTTCCATGTTTTATATTACTCACAAAGTGGCTGTGACCTCTTGAATGTTTTCTGAATAAGTAAGATTTAGATATGGTAAAGACAGGCAATGGCACCACACCAATGAAGAGCAGAGTGGCAGGCACTATTTTAGAGATCAAATCAAAACTCAGGTGTGTGAGGGCTCCTCCCTCACCCTTTCTCTGCTCAAGCAAATGTCCCACCAGTGGCACTTGGAATTGCTGCATCTGTCTTCAGTTGGACTCTGGGGAGACAGAAAACAACAGAATAGTTAAGGGCTATAAATCTTGCTCAGCAGCTGAGGGCTAGTCGAGCATGAGCCAACCAAAACACAACTGGTATGCAAATACAACTGTAAGTCAATCACCTTATCCCCATAACTAGCAGACAGTCCAGGACTTCTTGAGCTCTACTGCATGGTAGGGTTCCATGCCAGGATCTCCCCTTGAGTGGGGTGACACCTGTCATGGTTACTCCTCGAGGCTAAGAGCATTCTTATCACATCAGATATTCAGTAGGTGAATTGGGAATAGGAGCACTGAAACTTGGAAGTCTTAGCAAAGCGATGAAAAGAATTGCTTGTACATATATGATCCTTTAGATATAAACTGTTGATAAAGTCTGGGCCTGAGCCTGAATACAGCTGCAGCTAAAACTCCTCTCTGAGAAGGAGTTTAGAATGCAAGGGGGTCCTTTCTGAACCTCATGACTTGACGACAGGATCTCCTGACATCCCTCTATGCAGTACATACCTTGCCAATGAATCTTGTTAAGCCACTCTCACATCTGCCATTGAACTTTGTTATCTCACTGTCCTATATCAATAAAACGTATTGTTGCTTTTCTCTCGCGAGTGAAGTGCATGACTCCAACCACAACAAGGTGAGGCTCGAACCATATAAGGGTCCCCCCATACTCCAGCTGGAGTTGTTACGCCAAGGCCTCGTTCCTGAGATGTGCAAGTACATGTCCAACTCCAAGCGTGTCAGTAGCCCACTACTTTGAATAGGATTACTCACACTATGAAGTACCTTCCTGAACTGGAGCTTCAGTATTAAGTTGAATAGCAGAGAAAAAAGCTTTTGAGACCCATTGAAAAAGTGCTAATTCAAACCCCACGTAAAATGTAGGCTAGTCTGAACAGCTACATTATTCCTCTAAAAAAATAGACAGTCATCTTGGCAAAGCTCACTTGTTATTGAATTCATTTTTATATGGCAAGTTATGGGAAATTTAATAATACCTCACATTAATTTTTTTATGGAAGCTATGTGAAAATATTTCAAGTTATTAAATGCTAGCACCCTTTAGTAGTCTTCAAAACTTAACTAGAAAATCAACATTTTTCTTTATTTTAGTCCTATTTAAAAATCACACATAGACACAGCTTCTTTCCCTCTGAAAAAATGGGAAACCTTTTCAAGTAATGCATATCAATGAAAGAAAATGCAAGTAGATATAGATCAAATAACATTTTTGTTTCATTTACTGCCAACCCTTGTGGACGTCCTTTGCTTTCTCACATATTGCATGATTGCCTGGGGCAATCTTCGTGAATCATTTACATTTGCCTACTATTGCATTTGGCCCAATGACTTTTCCGTGAAACCACAGTTTGTGATACCTCCTAAGGGTATTCACAGTGAAAACTTTGTGCATCATTTTAGGGGTGTTGTAATGACTGAAATACAGTGAGTAAGAGACATACAGGAAATTCTCTCACAGCAGGAGATGAAGTAAACAAATAAGAAAATACAATTTCATCATAAACCCGTTGGGGTTGGAGTTGGGTCATCATGTCAAGCAGTATAAAAAGAATGACTCGGTCTCCATGTTCATTAAATTCTACTCTCTGCTGAAATTGCAAGCAAGAATGCTAATTACCAATTGCCACTCTATATTGGACTGGCACTGGGAGATGTCTAAATATTCATCTCACTAAAAAATCTGTAGCTTCTTGTCACCTAACTTATTTTTGAAGAAAATATTTAGAAGTAAACAATTCTGCTTCCCTTTTTCAAAACCTCACTCTCCATCTTAAGCTATTCTAATTTTGCAAAAAATGCACAGTTAATTCTTTTAAAAACCCCAATCACTTATTGCTACAATATTGTATTGATGTTGCTCAAAGGATCACATCACAGCCATAACATTTTGCACTGAAACTGTTGGCTAGATTAATTGTATTGGCCACATTAATGGATTCCAGAATTGAGGAGATCATTTTGCTTAGCAAACTTGACTGCTTGTGCAGTACAGAGGATGCAAATGCTCTGAGCTGACTTACAGAAAATCACAGTGTCATGGTTTGAGATAGCCCCAAAATCCAATCCCCTAGTCTAAGCCCCCTCCCACATCTCAACCTAATGTGAGATGGGTTTTTCCAGACAAAACACACCAGACTCAGAATGGGGGAAAGGGAATATATTACAATGACTGTACAGATAAATACCATATCACATTATACACATGATCACAACATCTCAAACCATGACAGGAGACAATTCCATCTAGATGCAATAGAAATTTTGTATAGATCTTCCAGGACATATTAAGAACAGTTGTAGTGTATGCAAACATGTTCTTCTCACAGGAAGACAAGAATATTATTCCTTTGGGATAATTTCTGTCTTGCTGAAGTTAAACTTGTGTTAGTCACTTGGCTGGTGAAGGATAATATGATTTACTGGAGACAATATGATTTACTGGAGACCTTCCCTTTGCTTTTGCAATGATCTGTGTTCATATATTTGGCTGGAAGCAGGATTTATCTCTGAATTTGGCTTCTAGACCCAGCCTTATATAGAAATGCTCTCATCTGGCACACTTATTCATACAGTATGTCTCTTTATGGTTTTTTAATAAAGAACAAGCTTCCTGGAATTTTCTTTGTTGTCCTTAGGGTAGGAACAAAGGACTGATCCTGAGCTTTCTCCCATCATTTTTTTGCCCATGAAAGGCTCCTTTAATTGGGTTGATGCCTGGTATGTCAACTGGGACTATGGTCGCAATACTTTAATTTCCTTACACACAATAATTTTTAGAATTTTTTTTTTGGACATTGACCATTTTACTTGGGACACAAAGTTCATGAATAAGCTAATCTGAAGGAAAGTACTGGTTTAAATAAATTGAGAATTAATAGCAAGTGAGACGGTCCTGTTTTTTTCAGGTTTTCTACAGTAATGAACTATAGGACTGGCTAGTAAAGCAATGATTCTTGATTGCATTGTGTGTCAATGTTATTCATGGAAAGATGATCACTGTATCTGCAGCTGAAGTTGTGTCTCATTAAGAATCATTTGATGAATAGTACAGAAAAGCAGGAGAAACATCAGAAGTGAAATTTTTGTTAACTGGGAACAGCAACTCATCAACATGGTCCACTTTTGTAATTCCTTTGAAAAGGATATACATCTAAGCAAACTTAACCATTACTTAAACATTTCCTCCAGGTATATTCCACTCCTCTTGATGTGTTTTGGGACTCTACCAGCATCTGCCATTACTTCACCATACTTCCTTTCCTCACTTTCACACAGTCTGTGCGCTGGACTTCCTTTTCTTATGGATGAAGTGAGATAGACAGCCTTTTTTTGAAGACTGTCAGTTCTTCTCTCTGGATTTGTCAGTGGAGGTTTACAGACCTGTTTCCACATTAGTCAGACTGTGCCACTTGGCCCATCCTCTGCCTGATGTGAGAGTCAGTCTTGCCAGCAGTGTGCTGCTACTATTAAGACACAGATATGTCTCATTCCTCTCTGGCTGTGCTGTTTGCCTTCCAGCCCACAAATTCCAATTCAAGGAACAGCTGAGAACCCTGATACATCCTGCACTGGATATGTGGCCTGCAGGAGAGCATGAGTGTGGACTGCCGCAGGCCAAGGATTGTGTGCTGCCTATATCTCTTCTTTCTCAGGAGTTTCACCAACCATCAGCTATTATAGGAAAGGTGGATGTCAACTTTTCCTTTTTGGCAGACTCATATTGGTCAAAGTAGAGGTCTTAGCACCACGTGAGCAGAACTTATGGGGCCTGTGCTACATGGCTGCTTCATACTTAGATATCTATAGCTACTTAAGAGCAAAGCAGTTGGATACACTTTTGTGGTTTGCTCATTTTCTCTTTAGTGCCTAAATTTCACCTAAACTACCCTTTCAGGGCTCTTTCAGGAAAGTCATTGTGGCCTCCAAGTTTGACCCTGGTCTTGGGTCAGCATTTACTNCCAACCACCCAAAACTACAACTCATCTCTTCCGGTGAGCTTGTGATATGTTTACATTTTTGCAGGAGCGCCCATTGGGCAAAACTTCAAAACATCCAGGGGTTTCCACCCCTTGGGGTCTACCACTTTTCAGCCTCTGGGGGAAAAACCAAGGTCCAAACCACCACACACAGGATCATAGTTTGTGTTGGAAAGGACCTTTAAAGGTCATCTAGTCTCACCCCTGCTTGGGGAAATCACAGAATCTTGGAATAGTTAGGGTTGGAAGGGACATCTGCAGATTACCTAGTCCAATTCTGCCAAGGCAGGGTTAACTAGAGCAGGTGACACAGCAACTCATCCAGGTGGATTTTGAATGTCTCCAGAGAGGGGGACTCCATGACCTGCCTGGGCAGCCTGTTTCAGTGCTCTGCCACCTTCAAGGTTAAGAAGTTCTCCCTTGCATTGAGGTGGAAATTCTTGTGTTTTAGTTTATGACCATTGCTCCTCATCCATTTTGATTGTAAGATCCCTCACTGAAACATTAAGGTTTCACTGAATAATTACAGACAGGATTAAAACATGTGGGGCTTATCCTGTCTTTGTACACAGAGCATCAGCTTCTCTTTTATGCCATGCAGTTCACAAAATATTACTGTTACCTCAGTATTGAACCCAGCAGCTTTTGTCCACTTTTTCCAAAGGGACACTGAGTCTGAATTCAAAGACACAAAGAAGTGGAAAATACACCGGTATTCTTGGTATTTTGTTCCAATGGTTAACCGCCACCAAAATAATTTCCTGACTGCTTATTTTTGGTATCTTCTGATTTAAATTATGTAGACAATTCTTCCTGATGTCATTTTGAACAACTGAAGCCCCAGTCCAACACCTGTTTAAATCAAGGGAAACATTCATATTGATTACAAAGAATATTGAACCAAGCTCTGAATTATATATAACACTTCTCTGTGGTTTATGAGATGAATGTTAAAGAAAGTATCTCTTTATTTTCCACCAGAAAGAGAATATGAATGATAG